CCCGGCTACGTTTGACGCCTCACGGTGGGCAGATTATTACGGATGCCTTCCTGGCAACGATGTCCAGATGGCGGATGCCATCCAAGCATACATTCAGGCGAGATTATCGGGCACTCCATGTTGGGTTGAACTGCCTGATGAAGCCTGGCATCCATCTGCGAAACGGCATAAATTCCGTAGACCTGTGTGTCGCCTGATCAAAGCTCTGTACGGACATCCTGACGCAGGAACCATGTGGGAACAACATTGCCATACCGCGGTACAGAAAGTAGGATTCAAGCCGATTGGCGACGAATGGCCATCATTGTATTTCCACCCGCAGATGAAGCTCTTACTTGTCATCTACGTGGATGATCTCAAGATGGCAGGGCCCAAAGAGAACCTGCCCAAGGGTTGGGACATGCTGCGCCAAGAACTTCGATTGGAAGAGGAAACGCCACTAGGTTTGTATCTGGGTTGTCGCATCTCCAAGGGCGAGGCAACGTTGCATGACAAAACGAAGGTGCAGACCGTTACCTACGACATGGAGACGTACCTGGACATGACAGTCAAGAAGTACTGCGACGTGACTGGGTTCGATCCGACAAAATTCAAGACGGTACCATCGCCGAGTCCGGCTGAGGAGACTAAGAATCACCCAGCTCGCGCTCCGGCACAGTCAGGTAAAAGCCATCGATGCACGTGGTGTGGACACACCATGCCTGTTGATAAGGATGGTCGGCTTGTTCCGCCTCCACCTATTCCCAAGGCGCCAGAGGAACAGGAGATCAACGAGGCTAATCGCGGCGCACTTGCTCCGCAGGCAGCAAGCATTCTCATGAAATTGCTTTATGCCGCGCGCATTTGCCGCTTTGATCTTCTGCGCAGTATCAACAATCTCGCACGCAAGATCACGAAATGGACCAAGAAGGAGGATGCTCTTCTTCATCATCTCATGGCCTATGTGCACCAGTCCAAACATCACATGATGATTGGATGGGTCGGGAACTCCTTGGAGGACTCGTCCATCGGGCTGTTTGCAGATGCGGACTATGCAGGTTGTGGAGAAAGTTTGAAATCTACCTCCGGTGCTCACTTGCACATTCAAGGTTCTCACACAAGATTTCCCTTGGCGGGACTTAGCAAAAGGCAGGGGTGCTTGAGTCATTCCACACCTGAGGCCGAGATTGTCGCGGCCGACTTTGCCATGTCACGTCTTGGATTGCCTGCTATCACGTTGTGGCAGCAGCTTGGGGGGCAAGACCCCAACTTCGTCTTCTACGACGACAACCAGACCATGATCGGGGTGATTCGCACGGGCAAGAATCCGACTATGCGTCATTTGGAACGTACCCACGGCATCTGCATTGGATGGATGCATTCTATCTTTCAGGAAGGTTACGTTTCTCTTGCCTATGAGGTCACTGCCAAGATGTCAGCGGACATACACACCAAGTCGTTCAAGGATTCTGTGTCCTGGACACACGCGTGTCAGCTCATCAACATTTTTCCGCCGGCCCTCATTGGCTCCCAAGAGATTATGGATCTGATGCGCCCTACTCATACACAAAGCACGGATGAGAAGGGCCAACAGCATTACTCGTTCAAGAGCGAGGTGCCTTGTTTTCCTTACACGCAGACGCCGATCCTCCCTCAGGTGTTGTATCGCGCTGGATTGTCGAGTAAGGAAGGCTTGCAAGAACATGACAGTGTGGACCCCATCCTGGTTGTCAAGTTCCCGCGCATGTTGCGGGGGCCGCCTTCCGCGTTGCCGCCTGGTCGTTACCTTCGGTCGACTTGGATTCTTCGTGAAGGGCAGTGGCACCAGATGGAGGACCGTGCTGCTATCCTTGATCAACCGGGCAAGTTCGACCGCTATGTGGAGCGTGCTGTGTTTCAATACCATCCGATCCGGGGGCATTTGCGCCCAGCCGCCATTGCGGACGTACTTGCGCCGCCGTTTTTGCCTCCTCCTGAACCGCCTTTGGGCCAGTCTTATGTGCGCGCCCTGCCCGCCAAATGGCGAGCGGTGGTTGTCACACTGGCGCGTGCCATCCATGGGGGGTACCAGGGCTTTACATTACCTCTTTGTTTCAACGGCCAGTCCAAAAGTCAAGCCTCCCAATTCGGCTATGACCAATGGTCGTCAGTGTACGAGGATGTATGGCATGATGCGGCTGAACAGAAAAGGGAATATCAAGGATATGATGGAGCAATTGTGCCTCACGTGGTCAATTTCGCCGAAAACAAACCCAAGGAGGGCCTGGTGATCCAATTCCTCGACCACGATGGAGGGTTGGTCCATACTTACAAGAATCCTTACAGCCGGTGGAAATACCGTATCACTATCAAAGATGCTCCAAAGGCAGTGACGGTGTGGACATTGGTAGGAGTCGATGAGGAGAACTGGTGGAATGAGTATGCTCCAGGCAAGGATTGCATTGCGCAGCATGCTCCCGATTCTCACTATGACCCTGGGCTGCAAGTAAATGTTCTGAGTATGGGGCGAGAAGTTGACGACGCCATGTGTGCCTACCTCTTCGATGTGGTGGAAGCAAGGAAAAACAACCCTAACTCCGTGATCTTCATTGGCGCAGGGGTGTTGGGCAAGAATTCGTGGCTGAGTCGGAAAATCGCTGACAACCCTGAAAGGGCCAAATTGCGGACAGACTACCCATGGGGGGAGGTCGTCCAAAGAATTGCGCGCAGAGCGGCATCATGGGGGTTCCAAATCATCATCGAAGTACCTCCTCGAGTACCAGTCCAGGAAACCAAGCAGTACAAGGGACTTCAGGAAGATGCCATGTGGAAGAGCATCAAGATCCAAGGATGCACTCACGGGCAACGTTATACCTTTCGGGATCCTGTATCTCCCGGAACCGCCGTTGAGCTCGGCTACTGCAAGGATGAATGGGAGTACATTGCCGCAAACGTCGCGTTGCATCCTAACCCAGACCCCCGGCCGGATCCAAAAAGTAGATCCGCATGTTGATGGTCCGAGTTAGAGCCACCCCATGAAAAGTGGATCCGCGACCATTTTTGGGTGAGACAGCGAAACCTACAACTTGAGCAAAAGAAAAGAAAGTTCACAGATGTTGCCCGAAAACACAGTCGACGGCAGATTCTTCTTGTTTGTAACCGGTAAGGGCGGCACAGGCAAGCAGTTATGCTAGCAGTGGTGCTTGTTCGTCGATATTGTCACAGAAATTTGATGCCCAGCGGTTTGAACCAAAATAGTTCGTCTCTCCTTATTCTTTTGCTCTCTCTTTAGTCTTTTTCGATATAAACGAAAGCCAGGTTTAGGCGAGTTGTGGGTTATTGTTGTTCGTCGACTTAAACTCTGGTTCAAAACCCGAAAGCCTAAACCTCAAACCTAAACCCAAACCCTACCTAAACCGTAAACTTTAAGCCAGGTGTTTGCAACTGAATGGCATCCAAGCAACGGCGAAAGCTAGAAGCAATAATTTTGATAAGCATAGAGTCACTATATACAGGAGAGGCACACCGCCACACCGAAGAATTCTGAGACTGCAAAGCGCTCGAATTTAGTCGATTCCGGGGTTTTGTTCTTGAGGATTTTAGTTCAGGGTCTATGGCCTCCGAGGACGGGAATCAGGGTGTGGAAATTACTCTGAATGTAAGTCTAAGCTCAAGTAGTCACGATTGTCGGGCCGGGCTTGCATAAGGGTTTAAGTGGTCGGATGCTTGCGGTTTTGGTTCGAGTCTAAAGCTGAGGTCTTCACAGGGGCCCAGAACAAAAAGCAAACCTCGCCCTTGTAAGGAATCCTTGAGATCCTGAAACAAAACTAAACCGAAGCGAAGCCCTGGCCCGGAGCCCTTAAAACCCTTGAAACATATTGTATCCAAACCTACCAATCCTCCGAACCCTCCCTTATTCTCTTTCGATCGCCGATCCGTGGTGGGACGACAGAAGCGACTCTTGGCACTTTATGCCAGAAAGGGCAGGGGTATTTCGGAGACTGAAGATTCTGGGGTTTAGGGTTTAGGTTATTCATAAGGGTGGCTGACCCCGCCCCAGCGTGCACACATAGACGGCTGTACACTCGCACCACCGCACTCGAAGCGAACCACCATGGAACACCGAGCCCAGGATATGAAAGCATTTCCTAAGCAGTGCCCGGCACCAACCTTTACACTAGCACCGAAGCCTTATTAGGATAACGAGCTAGCGAGCCCCTAAGCCCTAAACCATACAACAAAACCTGCTAAAATTAGATCGAAGAGTCGCCTGCGTGTCATCCTTGCGACAGAGAACCATCCACGATCCTTTCGGGAGTGCACAGGCGGAACAGGTTTATGAAGTATGAAACTAAAACCTTTAACCCACTATACTTGTATCCGAAATCTAAACCGCTACGAAACTGGATCTGGAAAGGTTCGGCCTCGATTCGGATTTGAGGGGAAGTGGGTTTCAGCTAGGCTTTGGGAGATATTTTGCATTTCCGAGGTGTTAGGGCTATAGTGTCGGTTTTCGGAATTGAGGTTTTCGTGGGATTTGGGGCCGGGGTGCTCTTTCGACTTGTACGAAAGCGTACAATTAAGTTAAGTTGACTATACCAAAAGAGCTTTATTTACGGCAAAGCAGCCGAAATCTCACTACAGTTAAGCCCTAAATCGTGGAAGCCCATACCTCCAATAGTTCGTTCACTCAGATAACATACAAGCCTTGAGCCAGAACTCGCCCTAAACCCTTGATTGCCCCGAACTCGAAACCCGAGCCTAACCCATAAACCACACACCTTGAAGCCAAATCCCCCTTCCTGAGCAAAGCTCGCCGGCGCAATTCGTGTGGTATACGGGTTTCGTAGCTTGCAATACCCTAACCCTAAGCCCTGAGTTGAACTGGGTGTCAAAAACCAAAGCTACTTTCTCAAGCACCCTATAGAAGTGTGACTGGTCGAATCAGTCATGTCAGTGGGGCCTACCATCGAAAATGGAATTTGAGGATTGGGCGAAGCTGCTATATATGCCAAGTGGCAGCAATAAGCGACTCGACCATTTCAGTCGTCAGCAGATGAAGTAGCCAAAGCTTCCAGCATTTGCAACTTGCGGTAGACGGCCATTGCCCAATGTCGACGATGAACTGAACGACAGACTTTAGCTATGGCCCCGTTATAGGACTCATCCACATAAGTAGAATACATCCTGGGATTCCCTTTAACCCTGGCCTGAGAAGCAAGGTGGTACATGAGGTGGCCCTTTGGTAGGAAAGGCACACCAGCCCTTGAGCACAGCTGTATGAAACGATGATATCGTGTATGCAAAGCGTCGCATGCGTCCTGCGGAAACACTCTGCTGTGCTCGTTCATAATCTGATCGAATGCTTCGGCTGCACACCCTGCCCGACGAAGTAGATCAAACATGTGCGAATTTTCATTGCCCTCAAGCACCGTCTTGTATTTCTCAAGTGTCATGACCACAAAGCGAAGTAGACCGTGTGTCTCCGCTGCTTTGCACTTCAGGGCTTTCTCTGCAAGCATCGTGAGAGTGAGGTTCCACACCTACGAAGTATATTCGGTTTCGGGAATCCGGGTTAGCATTAGCGGGCTCTGGTCTTCGATGTTCTTTTACACTAATTATTCACTAGCAAACTATTTGGGCTCCGGACAAACATCCCTCGATCTCTAATCCAGCTATCCCAAAAACCCTAATACTAAATAGCAGCCTATGCTGGCTATTTCGTTATCTGGCGATGTTTACCTCTAACAGAGTCACTTAAGTTTGTTGTAGTTTAAACTTTAATGATCGATATAAGCCTTCAAGTCTTCGGGCACCACATAAACTACTCATCAAAGCTTAGATTCACGACTATATCATTATTCTTATATCATCCTTTTCCTCCCCACCTCAGAACCTTTCTTGCTCCACTCCTTGTCTGTGGCACGTCTGTGCTTGTAGAACATCCACAATTCCGCTTTGAGGGCCATCAAAGAAAGCTTGTCATTTTCTTCTTTGTCTAGAACCGCTGAATTGCCAGGCTTGTAGATATCTGTGCTCAGCAAAGCACGAAGAGCAAATGTCAGATAAGTAGACATGGGTCCATAATGCCACGTATGTAGCAAGTCGATGCACCAAGAACTCAAGCTGACTCCAGGGATTTGCAAAAGCGGAGACACGTGCAACACACGGCCGTGTTCACCAGCCACATAAAAGATGCAACTGAATGGACACTGCTGCTGCTCGAAGGACCCCACATCTGGCAACAGTGTAGAAGGCTCCAATCTAGCCCATTTCGGAAGCCCTAGCTGTTGGAATGCTTTCAGCAAGCAGCGTCCACGGCCACGGCCTTTTTTTTTCGATAGTGCAAAAGCTTCGAGATCTGCTGTTGAACATCCACATCCGGAATCGTGACCTCCTATGTTGTTGACGACTACATAGACATATTAATATTAGGACGTACGTGAACATATAAGGTGCTATATGCGGAATCCAGCGACCGGACACAAACGAATTTTGAGTGGCGAAAAATACTTAAAACATCATGAAGCCTGTAAGCTATCTAGTGTTTTAGAACAAAGGTCCTTGAAGTTCTTCGACAAAGTAGCTTCGTACTTGCTTTTGTCATACAACGGGAATGGGCACGATCTCGCACTGAAACCATCAATGTTTGGAAGCTGTGCTTTCTTGACCAGACAACAAGGACAGGCATGATGATTATGGGACCACGTTCTCAAAGCAGCTATCTCGACCAAAGCAGCCCAATCAGCTTTGAAGTCAATGATCGGCAATCTCAAATCCGGATGTTGTTCACTCAAATCTCGCCTGAAAGCTTCCAATAATGGAAACACGGAACACCAGCCTCTGCAGCCACATCCACAAAGTTCCGATAATCCTGTGTTTGTCGTGAACACATCTGCGATATGTACTGGCTTCAGCCAGGACACAACCTACATTATATACAGAACACGTAGGACAACCAACGGTGGTGTTTATATTCATACATATAAATAAACATACATATATATATATATATATATAAACATACATATATATATCTATATATATATAGACAATAAAAACCCACACACACACACAGCAATATCCGTATACCCATATAGCCTTTCACACTCCAGACCTTAAGTTTCAGTAGCAGGGCTATGTACAAGCATACATATACATACTCATGTACTTATACATATGCATATACATACACGTACATGCATAAGCACATGTACAGGCGACAAATATAACATAAAATCTACTATGTGCTGTCGGGGTACGTAGCAACCAAACAAGCCTTTGCTTTTTTGTGCGTAAGTTGGTGACATAAAACCCCAAAAAGTTCTCGTTCTTGGAATACTGGACCCCGTCGAAATATACCGATAGAGGAACGATGTGTTCTCGCGAGAAACCTTGGCGGAGAGCTTCGATCGTGACACAATGGCGTTCGTATAGATCCCCTAGCTCCTCGTCGTGTTTCAAGAAGTCTTGCACAATCTCAGGAGATGCTGTGCCTTCAAGAATACCAAGCTCCATCAGCTCATTGCGTATCATGATCGAAGTCACACGGGTGGGGTGCTGTACGAGGGTCCTTCCAGCAGACTTCTTCAGATGCATCGGAACTGAAACCATTTCCACATCAGGCTCCGGGAATTCTTTATTCAGATGGCACCTGGGGCAAATTACGAGAAAGGACCAGGGACTTAATCAATGGAGTGTTAGATTCGGATAGAGGATTCAGGGATATCATTCTCCAGGTTTTGCAGAGTTTTGCACACAGTCCCTGACCTCAGATGTTCAGCTGCATGACGACTAGCGGACCGAGGGTTCAAAGCCAGATCCTCAGCACCCTCACCCCCTGATGCCACGTGCCAGTAAGCAAGCTGACAAGTGTCGGTTGCCGTAGCAGAACCATCCAAAAACCTCTCGACCAGCAGACGTCGAAACTTCTTAGCAGCCTCGATGTCCCCGCCTTCACTAGGCAACGTGTCTTCATACTCATGGAGATCAAAGTAACAGGAACCTTGGGTTTGGTCTGCTGCACGAGCACGTTTGAAGCTCATCGACCATGGACACCCCACCGTGCTACGATACAAATATATATGCACAGCCCGCTCTATAATAAGCCTTAAACCTAAACCTTCCAGCCTCAACCATACGTACACCTTGAGTGTGAGCTCCCGAAACACCACACCTAAAACCCTTGACCTCAAACTTAAACACTCTAAATCGTAAACTCTACACAAAGTAGTTATCATCCTCACCATACGTACATGTATTCGGTTCCTACATGAGCCAAACCTCGATGCAATTACTGTGCGGCTTGCACCGGCTGTGTGCATCATCATGGTCACTCACAGATCGAAACTAACTTTTCAACGGCGTTGCCCCGGAACTTTGTTCCCCAGCACCGCTCCCAGCACAACTTTTTCATTGTGTGAGAACGAACCCACACAAGCAGCAGCCAGGATCCTCAGGATAAACCAGGGAAGGTTTTGGATTAGGACTATAATAACCCGAGCATTAAGATGTCAACCGTAAACCAGGATACCCACTAGGAGCTTCTGGGGGGTTTCGGGGTTCCGGACTGTTGATTTAGCTATACTCATGACGATCTACACCTTACTAGTAGTCCTAGGGGTGAAACGATCCGAGCCTAAGCACCTAAAACCTTAAAGCATATCTCAACCCTAAGCCCCATGCCCATATTCTTAAATAAAACTCGTCCATACGAATCCTCTATGCAGCTGCTTGTGGCACTACCCGGCAAGCTTCGAAAATCCAAGGCATGGCACAGCGATCACACTGAGCCGATGCTTCTCGTGGAGGCCGATCGGGCCAGGGCTTTTTTGGCTTTGCCTTTTGCCTTGGGGGCAGGGCTAGCTTTAACACTCTCGGAAGCATTCTTCTTGGCACTAGCCATCTGTTGTATCTGTACACTAGCCTCTGCCATAGCAGAGATTTTCGGCCCCAACATGCTCACGAAGTCGCAAAGCTTCGGCAAATACTGATCCTTGTACTCCTTCTTCACCTTCTGCAGCTCCTTCGCGGAGAGAACAGCCACCTTCATGGACTGAAAGAAGGGGTTCTCGGCGTAGAGCTCGAGCACCCCGACCCGGCATTCCTTGTAGCTCTTCACGAACCCAGCCGCCCACTGCCATGCGGCGGGATCGCTCTTGCCCATCTCGATCGTGATCATGCTCATAGCATTGTCGCTCGCTTGCTCCTGGGCAAGAAGCTCTTTGACCTCCTTCTCCTTCTTGGTCGTGACGGAACCGCTCCCGCCCGCCTTTGCCCGCTTGTTCGGATTCGCAGGATTCTCGGTAGTAGGAGGCGGCGTCGGGAGGTCAGTGTCGATCGGCTTCGGCTCCTGTTCCAAACCCCTCTTCTTGCCGCCCTTGCACCCACCAGCATTGCTGCCATCCCCGCCGGGCTTGGGCTGGGCTCCTGGAGTCTTTTCGAACAAAGCAGCATAGCCTTGCAAACCCAACTCCGAGGTCCTCACTTCGGTCTCGGTCACATCAACCAACCTCTTGCCGTTCTCCGCCGCGTAGCATCGCATAGCTTTCGAGAGCTGCACCTTTTCAGACCATGAGCCTTTAACCGGCTCCTTGACCTCGACAGTCACAGTACTCTTCCATTCCTGGATGTTCGATGTGGTCAGGAGCTGCTCCACCCACAGGTATGTGTCAGCTTTCAGCCAGGCGTTGTAGACCACACAGTGTTCCTGATTGGCAGTTGTAGGTTTTGGGGTTTCTTAGAACACATTCTCAAAGTTGAAGGGTAAAGTGTGTTTGTACATTCTAGGGTCCTTGGGGGTGTAGTGGGTGGGAACTGAAGCTCCTTAATGTCGGGCTTAGGGCTTATTGTTAGGCTCCGGGTCTTGTCACTAGTCAATGCTAATCGGCTCCTATATAGATATATAAGGTCTAAGAGTCTAGGCTTCCGGGTGGGGAGGGGCTCTTGAGTTCTTTGTGCGAGGCTAGGCTTGATTATTTGGGTTCGGCCTTGAGGTCGTCACGGCAGCACATCTGAGTGTAGTTCTTCGCCTGTTGCATGGCGATGGGTTCATCGACCCCACCTAGGACCTGACAAATCTGAAGGAAGGTCTTGTAGGTGCCGAGCTCGTCCTTTCTTTTGCGAAATGTATTGACGGTGCTGCGGGTAGTCGTGACGAATTCAAAGTCCCGGGAGCATGCCCAGGCCCTCCTAAACTCGAGCTTGAAGGAATCTAGGAGTAGGCCATAAAGGTTTTTCACGTCCGGTTTGAAGCGGATGGCACGGCCCATAGATTGTGCCGTGGCACCACGGGCCGACATGTCTGTGTTGACCGTGGCCCAGTAGCTGGGGCCTTCCTTTGTAGCCTCAAGCATGGAAAACGTCACCTCCTTGGGGTCCTTGTTGATGCTGTTGGCATAGTTCTCGATCGCGATACGAATGGATTCCGGGGTCATTGCAGGTGGCTTCTTATCCTCGCTGGCGGCGTCTGCTGCCTTCTGCTCGCCGCTGCTGGTGGCGTCTGCTGGCTTCTGCTCCTCGCCGTTGGTGGCGTCACTTGGCTCATTATTGTTGTCACAGCCGGCGGCGTCTGGTGCCGATGCCGTGTCTGCGGGAGCTTCTGGGAGATCGGTGACGACGAGGGTCTCTGGGATTAGGGTTTCGCGGGTGTCCATGGAGTCGATGCGGGCGGGCTGTGACTCAGCCATGATAGCTAGAAGCTATCTATAGCTGCTGCCGCGAAGCCTTTGGATCTCTGCACTACGTAGCTTGCGAGCTAGGGCATAGCAGCATGCATCAGCAAAGCATATCATACAATACATACATACAAGACAAGGTGGAGCCTCCAAGAGGGTCTGATTGATCTCATATAGTAAGTATATATGAGCTAATATATGTTCGATACAGGACTTTTTGGGCTCGTGACACCTCATCACACCTCATTGGGGGGCTCATCGGGGATCCAGTTTGATACCTCATTCTGTTCATTGCCTACTTAGAGGACACGACAGCATCTACCATACCCTAGAGGGGCTCATTGGGGGGCTCATCGGGGATCTAGTTCGACACCTCATTGTGCAGCTTTGCTCTTGCCGGAGCTCTCTAGCTTGCCTATTGACATAATCAGCAGCAATGAGTGGCTTGGTACGTTGCTACTCGACGAGCATGCAGACTCTGCGGTTTTCCGCTGTTGCGAACACATAGATCATGAAGTCAAAATCACCTCGCGTCGGCTATGGAAGCCCACAAACCTTAAAGTAGAGCCCCTACATGGGTATCTAAATCTGGATCCACCGATATATTGGTTATTAGTAAAATACTCATACCGAAAGAGTTTAGGGTTTAGGGCTGAAGGGCTTAGGGTTATGGTTTGTGGTTAGATGGGCCGGTCGGGCTCAGATGAAAGGTGGTATCCAGTTAATAGATTGCGAGGAAGGTAGCTAACGGATCTAATTATGGATCCATTATAGCCCACGAGCGAACGGATCTAATTCTGGATACCTATATAGCCATAGCCAATCTGATATCTATATAGGGAAGGGTGTAGATTCTGAGTTTAAACCTATATATATATACGTACCAAGGCAATAAAAAAGGCGGTATCCAGATAATAGAATGCAAGGATGAGAGACGAGAGGCTCTAATTCTGGATCCAAACAACAGCAGGCGGGCTCGATTGCGGGATCTAGTTCGATCGTAACCAATCAACATATATATATATATATATATATATACATACATACAAGCCCTTATAGTTTCCAGATCCCCGATCGAGGCTATATTATATTATATATATAAGGTGTGGGAGGATTTTTGGAAATGTAGGGATTAGGGCTTAAGGTTATACTAAGCAGGATTATAATAATTAATGGATAGGGAGCTATACATTATTCGGGGGGGGTCCAATTCTGGATCCAGAAATAAGGGTAGAGGGTACACACATACATTATCCGGGTCGGGTTTTAATTATGTATATATGATCTATAATTCTCTCGCTTCTTCTATATATATATATATACATATATATCTATCTATATTTTATTCTACAGAATCGGGACTAGGCTTACAGCGATTCGAGGGATCCATACTACGACGTGGCTCGCACATCATCTGCGGATGGCTTGGCGGCTCCAGCTTTTCTGGAGCCTGGTGGAATATAAAGCGAGCACGGCATTCAAGCGGGAGGGTTTTGCGAGGATGAGGTTCTTCTGGGCCTCTGGGTCTTCGCCTTACATATATATATATGTATATATATATATATATTTGTTTATATATACACTGAAAGAGAGAGAGAGAGAGAGAGAGAGAGAGAGAGAGAGAGAGAGAGAGAGAGAGAGAGAGAAGAGAGAGAGAGAGAGAGAGAGAGAGAGAGAGAGAGAGAGAGAGAGAGAGAGAGAGAGAGAGAGAGAGAGAGAGAGAGAGAGAGAGAGAGAGAGAGGAGAGAGAGAGAGAGAGAGAGAGAGAGAGAGAGAGAGAGAGAGAGAGAGAGAGAGAGAGAGGGAGAGAGGGATGAGAAGGAAGAGAAAGCTGTGTAGGTAGATCTAAATGAGATGGACTGGTGTATATGTTACATTAGCTTATTAGTAGATAAATATATATATATATATGTATATCTACAGACGTCCACGTCTCGCCATGTAAAACATATACTATATATACAGTGTACGATAACACACCAGCAGCTATAGTAGCTAGCACTCTCACCATTGTTGACTGTCGGTATATTAATACATATGTATCAGTCCTATAGCGAGAAGACGACAGTGCAGCAGCTTAGCACATAGCAGAATACCTGCTGGATACATATATATATATTCGATGGATGACAGATCAGACCAGTCTGCGTACAGTCATGTATCCCAGAAGCCTCGAAGCCATCCAGCGATATTGCTTTGCAATTCGGACAGGCAGAATCGAGCTGCATCGGTGGAGACTCAAGATTGGGGTCAGGTGTTGAGGTTGGTACTGTCCAAATAACGACCATCTAGTACTATAAAGTTTCAAGGCCACAATCCCACGTGTAGCTAGAGGTCGAAAACCAGAGTAGCTCCATCCTCAGCTATAGCTCCTAGCGGCTGCCGTTCAGGAAAATCAGATCATGCCTCGAAGCTAGCCAGGCCACCCAAACTACTAGCTGATACTAAAACCCTATCAGACGAATGTTTTAGCACAATTAATACATAGATATGTATATGTATACCATACTCCCCAAAGATCCTACCCAAGTTGGAGGCCCGAGGACTGTAGTCTGCGGTGGCAAACTATTGCACCAAACCTGAGGACAGCTCGCTGAATCCACTGGAACAAAGCAGTCACGGTTTCCATAATGTTGCGGGCTTCGGGACATGCAGTTGCAATCCTACAGGGGTAGGCGGGGACAGGACTATAGCTACGATCACAATAAGCGAGATCCCCGATCCCATCCAAACCGGTCGTATGCAGGTGCTACACTAATCATCAAGTTTGTGGGATTCAGCCAACACGACAATCCTCAGGAAAGCTGCTCGTGGCGGCCAGTATGCTTTCGAAGCGATCGACGGGCAACTTGTTTATGCGGGCTCAGGGTCAAGGCTTTGAGTGTTCGGGTCTTTCGGGACTAAGTATCCTTGGTTTTTGGGGTTGCGGGAAAGTTCTGGGTCCTTTTCGCTACCTCATATCATCCCCATTCTCCTGGCCAAGCAGAGCACTAGCCGCCGTGCCAAGCCCAGCGAAGCCTGAGCGAGGTACTAGCTTCTAATGGGGTTCAGAGCAGAGGTGGCGTTTGTGGGGATTAAGGTTTCGGAAGTTTAGGGTTCAGGGTGATGTTAGTTCCTGTTGTACATAGCAAAAGCAGCAGATGCAAAGAGAGTCTAGAAACCTTCCTCTACTGCAGGGTCATGTTCCCCATCTTCTTCTTCATCTCCCTCGGCATCATCATCATCATCTCCCTGCGGCTCGTTCTTGGCCTGGTCATCCACGATCTGGGTCTGCGTGGGCTTCGGGATCTTGATAGGCGACTCTTTCGGCCTGGGAGTGGATATGACTGCAAGGCATATATGTGTATGTGTGTTTGTGCGTGCTATTTTGTGGGTGTGTGTCGGTGTGAGCTTGTCTCTATGTGTGTGCTCTTTAACATATGCGTGCAGCATGCATGCTTCGAAGTGTGTATGTGTGTATATGTACACATATGTCTGAATAATGGATCTATCTATGCATCCAACCAAGTCATGGTAAATTAAGACGATTCAAGTTGCGACTTCGGGAAGTGTTTCAGGCCAAGCGAATTGACAGTTTGCCAATCCAAAGCTGAAGCTTCCCAATCGTGGTCGTGAGCCAGTAGATCATCTCGACAGCCTCTGTAGTTGATCTCCGCCGGATTCAAGTTCATGTACACATAGCAATCGGCGAAGGTCATGGCGATGTGCATCGCTTTCCTCACACTGAGGCCGGTCCGGATAACCAGCTGGAGCTTCTGAACCCACCTGCTCGTGGCATCGTGGCGATCCTCGCGAGCCTCGACCTTGATCAGGGGGTTCTTGGAGCCTTGCGTGCAGTACTTGCAGCGGATTATCGAGTACACATAGTCCTCGATAGGTTTGTCGGCCTTCGGTTTGCGTTTGCTGGCCGCCTTGGGCTTCTGTTCGGGAACAGTCGGGGCCGGCAAACCAAGACCACTCTCTAGGTCTGCAGGCACGAGGTGCGGAACCGACCACATAAGACCATCGGGGAATTGAACGAAAACCTCATCCTCTTTCACAAAGGGCTTCGAAGAAAACACCGGGCCGGTCTGGCTTTCGAGGCAGGCACGTTGCATCTCGTAGTCCCACCAGATATCGCCAGGCTGTCGCTTGTCCTGGGCTAGGTTGGGTTGTGTTTTGGCAAGGGCTTTGTGGAGCTTCATAATGATTTTTATTTGGGCTCTGAACTGTTTCAGCTCAGGGGCTGCCTTCTGCTTGGATTGGTTCTCGGGGGCCTTGTCGTTGGACTCGGGGGCCTTCTTGTCGGACTGCTTCTCGGGGGCCTTCTCGTTGGACTGCTTCTCGGGGGCCTTCTTGGACTGCTTCTCGGGGGCCTTCTTGTCGGAGTGCTTCTCGGGGGCCTTCTTGTCGGAGTGCTTCTCGGGGGCCTTCTCGGACTGCTTCTTGGGGGCCTTCTTGTCGGAGTGCTTCTCGGGGGCCTTCTCGTTGGACTGCTTCTCGGGGGCCTTCTCGGACTGCTTCTCGGGGGCCTTCTCGTTGGACTGCTTCTCGGGGGCCTTCTTGTCGGACTGCTTCTCGGGGGCCTTCTTGTCGGACTGCTTCTTGCGGGTCTTCTCGTTGGACTGCTTTTCGGAGTCTTTCTCGGCGTCTTTGTCCTTCTCGTCCACAAAAGCGCTCATCTTCTTCAGACTAGGTTTTCTCTTGTTGTTCTCGGGCTTCGGTTCTTCGTCGGCTTTTCGCTTGTTCCGAGGCGGCTCCTCGGCGGCTGGGCTCTCCAGCAGCTGCGTCTCTCGGCGTCGACTTGGACCAGGAGTCGGCGAAAGGTAGCCTTGGATCGAAGGAGTAATGGTTTCTCGTACATCGTTATCATTTATATTGGATGAACATAGCGATATAGAATTAAGCTGATGGATGGGCCGGGCTTTTGGGTGTTGCTCTATATAATCAACTACAACTACCTTTTTGCTAGTTTTATTTTGGTTGTCATAGTGTTGCTTGGTTATTATTATTATTCTTATTAGTATTATTATTAGTATTATTATTATTGCTGATTTCGAAGGTTCTGGATGGGGGCTTAATTTGTGGGGCTTCGTTTCGTTCTGGGCCTTAATGTAGGGGTATCAATAGAGGGCCTAAAAGTTTCACTTCGAAGACGTCTTTTTCAGCTTGCATCGGGCCGGTTCCATCCCTCTGGCATCACCTTTTCGACACCACGACGTAGACACACCAGGGGCCTTCCTGGCAAGATAAACCTTCACCTCCACTTGCAGAGTTCAAGCAACGAGAGTCCAATTGCCAACGGTCAATAAGAGCAGCTTCTAAAAAACCAGCGGCTTCGGCAGATGCCAAAATACCCAGAATCCGCATCTCAGCCCATGCAGGCTTTGAAGAGTGCTGATACCCATAATCTTCGTTGCACCACCGGTGCGAAGGGCTGGAAGTCAAGCCGATCTTGAAACTGCAATTGTCACCGAGTCCACGTATGACAGTATGAGCTCGTTGCAGGATGTTGGAAGCAAGTGTTTGAGACGGCAATAAGTCCAGTTTTAAAGCAGGCTGAGCCATAATGTCTTGGATGACCCCTTTCATCCGAGGCAGCTCGGCCAAGTGCTTCGGCACTTTCAGCTTCCAATAGTTGTCTGAAACATATCGCACACCAGATGCTGTCTTCTCCAATAAGCAAGCTCGAGGATATGGTGCTATGGGCACTACAGGGATCTCTATATGGTCTGGCGGCGCAACCAGTCCTTCGATGGAGGCTGCAGAGGCCAAGCAGCACAAGGAATACTTTAATTAGTATTTCGCACCCTGTAAAAAAGTAGACAGTATTCTCAGAAACATAAGACTGGTGTGGATCGAAGGGTCTTCGTCTCTGTTTCTGTCGTCCATAGGCCAACAACTCCTGTAGCCAGGCCTCTTCATCGTCGAGAGATTCGCCCGAATCTCTTATTGATGCCATCACAGAAGCTCGCCGCATCCGAACATGGCTAGATATCTTAGATATCCCTATAGTCTCTTTATCTACACCAGGACTAAACCCAGGGGTTGCTACGTGGCCCTGCAGAGCAACAAAACCTTCGGAGTTTGAAGCACTTGAAGCCCTCCACAGGCAAGCGACCCCCCCCCAAACCTTTGTCAACGAGCCCAGCACAGGCACACGAAACCTATTGGGGAAACCCTAGCTTAGTTCCAATCCGAATTAAAGGATCCCAAGCCGACTCCAAAGGAAAGCCGAGTAACTCGCACCACTAGCCGATGGATCAAAGCCGCCCATCACCCCATCCAGCGTGTTCAAAAACCAATCGTTGGCCAGGAAAGCCGCCGCTGCTTCCTGGGCGGGATCGCGATATATGATGCAGCTGCCACAAGACTGGAACATAATGTATCTCAACTTCGAGGGTTGATGGGACTGCAGTGCCACTAGGATCAGATGCAACTTTGTTACAAGGATGGTTCCAAAGTTCAAGAATCGGCCGCTAACTATATGTAAAAGTAATAGGAAGCATATATATAAGAGGATCTAGCTATAATAAATCATCCAAAGGTCGGACAGACCATGCTGTGCGTTTGAGCTGCTGCTGCTGCTTGCCTGTACTTTTGGCGGGGGCTCATTGTCTGCGGGCTCGTTGTCTGCGGGCTCCTTCTCGGGCTCATGGTCGGGCTGATTGTTGGCTTCCGGGCTAGACATCTTATTGGTGCTGGTGCTGCTGTCACTGCTGCTGCTGCTGCTTGAGCTGGAGTCATCACTGCCGCTAACATCATCTGCTCCGTGTTCCCCGTCCATGTCTTCACAGGCCACCTCATCCTGCGGCTGTGCCTTCGGCTGTGCCTTCGGTGGATCACGGCTCTGATCTCGCTGCTTGCCAGTAACTCGTCTGAGTCTACGTTTTCCCGTGGGCTCATCTGAAGCCAATCTTCTGAGAGGTTTGTGTGCCTGAACGGAAGGGCCCCAAGAAACCGTACAGAAGCTAATGAATATAGCTAATGCCCAACTAAGTTTGATTGGCCTCCCTCAACCCCAGCCTTTGGAACCCATTCTCTTTGGCGAAGGGTGGCTTGCGAGTAGTGTCGGAAAGCAGCACTGAGTCGTAAGGAATTGGTGGTTGACCATGCATCCCGATCGGCTTCTTTAACCTGCTCTGCCAAATGTGCTTTGTCCTCTCGCATGCGGACAATAACAGTAGATAGAAGTAAGGTATGCACATATATATATATATAGAGAGATAGAGAGAGATACCGATAGGATCAGTACCAAAACCCAACAGTAGATGCTGTCCTCGTGCTTTAGCACCCCTAGCAAGGCTTTCTTGATGACGGTATCCGGAAAGTTCCACGTAGGACTCAACTGTCTGCAGTTGTTCAAGATGCCCTGGAAGAGCCTTGATTCGAGTGCACTCTAGCAGCACAAAACCCAGCCACTATCTACAGAATAAGCTTATAACAAAACAAGCCTGTACTCTATACTTTGATCACAAAGAACGGCGAGCACAGTTTCTTCTTGTCGATCTTCGCGATTGAGCGATCCGTGGGGTACGAAGTAAAAAATCGTTTGTCTATGAACGGCAACAGAGCATCTCGCAGCTTGTGCCATTCCTTGAACCCCTTCCGACTCTTCCGAGGCTCTTCTTCGTCATCATCAGCCGCGATCGCGGCAGCAGGTCTCTTCTTCGGAGGCATGGCAGCACTAAGCGGCCCTGAACCCTGAAGTCCGAACACTGAAGCTTCTTAAGCCTGAGCCCTCGATGCCCTCAATGAAGCCCGCTAGCCTAGCCACGAGCCCAGTTGACTTCAAGTCTTCAAGTGGACCTGGCCTACCTCGACAAGCTCCGACGTTAAAGGGTCCTAGGGTTTAGGGTTCAGGCTTTAGGTTCGGGGGCGTATCCTTTCAATTAGCTGTCTAAACCCTCACATCCGAGACCCACATCCAGTAAGTAAGTACAATATACGGCACAATGATAGTGTCTTTAAATTAGGCTGGTACGGTCGCAAAGGCAAGCTTAACCTATATACCCTTCGCCCTTCACCCACAAAAAGAAACCCGACCCTCGCCAGCCAGAGCGGTTGCCGGAGCGAGTTTTCACCACAAAAGCACAACGGACGGACGACGGACGAACAACGGCCGACGACGACGACGGACGACGACCATGTGATTTACGGCTTCAACACAGGACGATGCTGCACAGCCATTCGATATTCCCGGTGTTCTTTCGCAGTATATGCATTATTTTTAAAGTTATGTTCACGACTCCTCCTGGTTTATGATTTTCGCGAGTTTCGAGGTGTTCCTTCCAATACACTAGCTACAGGTTTTAGGGCGAGGTCTGTATAAAGGTTATTAGGGATTTAGGGCCTTAGGGTTTTTTTTTCACAATCTTTGAGCCAAATGAGAAACTTTTGGCGTGCAGAGCCGTCTTGTGTACTGTTATCCAAGATCTGCCAAAAACTCGCATTTCGGGTGACACAACAAAATCTAGAACCCCCTGTGCAAAAGTAGATCCGCACACAAATGTGGATCTAGAAAGTAGATCCGCCCGGGGGTCTGGGAAGTCGTCTGACGTGTGCTCGTCCAAACATTTGCACATGACCGATTCAGACGCTAAGGATCGATCTGATAAATGCGAGTTGACTAGCCAAATCTCCAGGAGATTGCTTAAAGCCTTGAAATTTCAGGCAACGGGCGACGGGAGATTGGTAGCCATGCCGTCGAAGGCTGGTGGACGAAAGCCCGACCGCATGATTGTTGACCTCTGTGGCTTGGGCAATGGCTACGCCGTGCCTAAGTCCACTAAGGGATGTGCTCGCATAACTTGCAAGGAGCTGATTGGCTCTAAGGCCGATGAGGACAGCCTTATCGGTGCGATGAAGGATGCGTGCCGGAATGACCTGCGCACACCTGTGCTATTCGTGGCATCGCTTTTGCGATCAGGTGCTGGTCCTGGAAGTAGTGAAGGGGCTTGCGTGGGGGGTGAGAAACGTTCCGGTGGGAAGTACAAGGTTTTCAGAAGTGTCTTGAAATCTCTCAAACGCCTGCTGAAGAAGTGTGCGGAATTTTCCGACGTCTATTTTTCGCTTGACATGCCTTCTTCATGTTCATGTTGGTCTTGGCCAGAGTTGCATGCTCTTGTTTCAAGTGGCAAGGTGACGAAGGTTAAGATTGATGACCATGTTGGTGCTGGTGGCGATGGTGGTGGACGCAGGATCATGTTCTCTAACATGCCTGAAGCGGATCGTTTGATGGTGAGAATGGATGATTGCTTGGACCATGAATCGAAGAGCAGTTTGTCGCAGCGCATTGATGTTTCATGGCAGTCGATTGCGAGGAATGTTCGCAGCCTTGTTCGAGCTCATGTCAGTGTCAGTCACGATGCACATGAATCTGAGGACATTGCATGGCAGCAACATCAGTGTGTAGACGCTGATGAAGGGGCTATTAGACAGCCCCAACTAAGGAACAACTAAGGTCTGACCAGACGGATCGGGGAAGGGTGCCTCTTACGGAGAACCCGGAACCGTGAAGTCGAGTAGGGTGTAGGGACTTCTCTCCTACGGAGGAAGGACCGAACCCCGAGCCATGGCTGAAAGCTACAATGCCTACGAGCTGGCCTTCGAAGGAGTGGACCACGAAGAAGTTTTCCCTTCTGGTGGGATGATGCGGACGTTTCTGAAGTTCCACAAGTTCCTGCAGATGTATTCTGAGGACTCGTCGCAGAGCGTTTCGCTCCCGCCAAAGATTACGAAAGACAAAGTGGTCGACAATGATCTCATTCGCACATGGGCAGCTTTCAAAGCACCTCCGTTGGTCTTGCTGTTCACGTGTGCAAATCTGTCGCCAGGAGGGGATCTTTCCATTCGAGTCCGAGAAATCCTCAAGGCTTGCTTATTTGCCGCCCCGGAGGAGTACATGGACAAACCCTATGGGGAGATACTCGCCATGGTCATCAAGTTTGGTGGAGGTCTCAAACACATTGTTGCTGACTACGGAGGGAAGTTTCATGCCATCACACGATTTATGGTGGATGAGGAAGTGATCCGCGATGATGCAAAGTTGGCTGTGGTTGAACTGGAACAAGAAAGAAAACAAGTTCGGTTCGACTTGAACACTGCAACCAGGAACATCGTCAGCGCGGACGTGTACTACAATCTCGCCGTTCTCATCAATTCCGTGGAGACGCCCTACCAGGCCGTGACAGACACGAGAATTCAACAATGGTATACGGTGAATCAGGACTACTACCACAAGTTGCCTATGTCAGGCAGAGCACCTGACCAATCCGACCTGTTGGGAGAGCCTACGTTATGTAGGGTGTGCAAGCTGATGTACATGTTCGCAAAGCACACTGGGTATGGGCTTCGGACCTACAACCAGGAATGTGCAGCGGGCAACGATGGCGCTACGCCAATCAACGTTCACCAGCTGGCTTTGATGATGCGCACATTGCCTCAAGGCATGGGACATCCGCTCGCCTTTGCGATGAACTCACTCCAGGCGTTCAGTGTTTGTCTCCACGTGCTTCATTCCTATGTATCATGGATTGATCCACAAACTGGACTCCCGCATTACAGATGGTCTAACGACGTGCTCCCTGATTCCGACTACACCACGTATGCTTTCCTCAAGTACCATGTGGATGCCGTATGTGCAGCTCAGGACAAGAACGGTTTCCAATTGCCGGATGCGTTCCGTGGCTACACCTGGAATCAATGCGGAGTTGAATCTGGGTACGTGGTCGACTGCTCTACCAAACGCGCCACATTGGGCATATGGGAAGCGGAATTCCAACAGATGAGGGCACCAAATCCGCTTATGCAAGATGATGGCCTATTTCCGCCCAACCTTCAACGGCATCCTAGCTGGGTATACTCAACGGGGAGAGTTGCGATGCCTACGGCAAGCAACCTCGAACCGGAAGGAATCGTGCACCCTGAGCATGGAAGAACGCCGGAACAATCGCAAGGATCCGCTGCCGGACCTCGAGCCACCCCTAGCCACGGACCAAAGAGGGCAAGGACGGACGAGGCAACGGCATCGGCGTCGTCATCTTCTGCGGCACCTCCTCCACAACAACCGCCTTCGCAACCGGAAGAGGAACCATCGCAACCGACATGGGAGGAAGCTCCAATCCCCGCTGGCGCTCAGGAAAGTTGGTACCATTATGTCAACATCGATGAGAAGGGCTGTCGTTCGATCTTGCTGACGACGACCCGTGATCAGACGAGTACCCACCTGCCATTGATGAGACGCCAAAGTTTGTGGCCAACCACGACGTGGGGACCACACCGATTCAGCATTACGTCAGAAGACTGGTGACCTATTTGGCAAGGATCCGTTCCGTCTCTCAAAATGATGACAAGGGTCTCAACCTGAAGGTCTACGTGAAGCTGAGTACAAAGGTGTGGTTACGGATGTATTCACGGCTGTACCATGCATTGGCATTGGTATCATGCGTGCATCTTCCTTCTCCTCCAATGCTTACCTCGGCAGTGATGATCGAGGCAGATAGCGATCTTGTCGACAACGATGACATTCCGGAAGAAGCAAGGATCAACACCATGAACACGCTGAACGGATTTCGCAATAGTTTGGGTATGGGTGGCAAACCTGATGCCGCGACTATGCGCTCTCAGTGCACAATCCTCGTCCAGGACTTTGACATGGTTGCAAGGACCAGGGGATCAACGCACACGGTGAGAGAGAACCTCGGCATGCATGGGTGGAGCGAGATCTACATTGTGAGCCCGTCGATCACCACAGGTGCCAACTACAACTTCCAAGTCACAAAAGGATCGTTGGAATCTGTGAATGCGACATTGGATGGCTTGACTGAAGAGCAGCTTGCAACCGTCACACTGCATTACCATCTGTCTCTCCAGGCAATCCTCATCGAGAACATGTCTTTTCCGATGAGTGAGGTCGGAGACGGAGCAGCGATTCGCACTGACTTGCAGCGACAGCTCAAGATGACGTACGTTGACCCTATCATTGCAGCAGGGAAGCGTACCACGCGCCCTCCAATTGTCAACATCAACCACGACTTACGGTTCGTTGGAGCAGCTAGCAATTACCTTCAGCACAAAGCTTCTCTGTTCAACGGTTTCCACGCGCTGGGAATGTATATTGAACTGGAGTTGCGAGCCCGAGCATGCGTGGTGATTCATGGATCTTCGTTTTGGTCAAGAATGTACAGCCAGATGAAACATGCGTCATCAGGCGTGCATACACTGTCAGCCGAAAAGGTGCCAGCACCGGACAATCGGGTCAGGTTCAAATTGGGCTACGCTATCTACGAGAAGCAGCTGTTCTGCGAGAAGATGGTATCCACGTGCTTTGTTGAGGCATCGAAAGTTCGCTCATGGGACGAAACTGTCCGCGCCGACTCAGTCGCTCACCCGTCGCTTGTCGAGATTTGGGAGGACAAGAGTGAAGTCAAGACGTCCACCAGGATTTCGCAGACATGGTTCACGGGAGAACAGCAGCAACAGATCAGGTCGGGTGCCCAGGGTGACACGGTCGCTGAATCGTCCACAGTCACCTGGCAGGACTTTGACATCGCCATGACCGTCCCCGAAGCCTACTACGACAACAGGCACTACTGGTTCCGGATCGACACCTACGCGACCCCGAACACCGGCTATGTCAAAGGGAGAACGTTCTATTGCCCTGGATGTGACGCAATGAA